AGTTTCAAGTCTGTTATGGACTGAATGTTTGTGGCTGTCGAAGCGCTAACCCCCAGTGTGGCTGTATTGGAGCTGGGGCCTGTAAGAAGGTGATTAGGGTGGGGTGAGGCTCTCGGGGTGGCCCTGATCCCACAGCATCAGTGTCCATGTGACGAGACACGAGAGAGCTCGCCACTCGTCTGCACACACCCACCGAGGCAAGGCCATGTGAGGACACAGCAAGAAGGTGCCTGTCTGCAAGCCAGGAGGCAGGTTCTCACCAGGAGCAGAACTCAGCCGGCCCCGGACTTCCCATCCCCAGGACCGTGAGGAAAGTGTTTAAGCCACGCAGTCAGTGGTATTCTGGTATGGCAGCCCGGCCTGACGGAGACAAAGCCTTAATTTAAATTTTGAGTTAATCTCTAAGTTTAGTTGCTAGAAATGCAAAACTAATACTAATATGCTATTGGGGAATTGGCAGAAAAATATTAAAAAGCTTATAATTTGAAAAAATAGAAGATATCAGTCAGCAGTATCCAGATGGTCCCCCAAAAGTGTTCCCAAGTGTTACAGGTCCTTGAGGAGAGTCACACCCTCCTGAGGTTGTGGTCTGTCCAGATCGCTGCACCCAGGATGTGCTGTCCTGCGGGAGGTGGTGGCCCAGGGGTCAGGACACGTGTGGCCTCTCGGCCTGTTCCTCTGGGAACCAGTGCCCCGGGCGCCCCGACGCCTGAGCTGCTCTGCCTGGGATGGGCCCTCTCCGCACCAGGAAAGCCCAGCCCTTACTGCCCTCGGCCCTCGTGGTGCGTTCTGAAGAATTTGCGGGAACGAGTACACATTTCCATTTTAGGAGCGTTTGCAAACATGGGTCCGCGGCCGCATGTCCCCAGGTGCCTCAGCCTCTGGCTCCCAGCACTGCCCTGCCTTGGCTCTGTGGTTCTGATCCTGATCCCTGTCCAAGGACCACAGTCGAAAATGCATTCTCTTGCAATTAATAAACTATTTTGTGACAGCTGTCAGAAACATTTGTGTTGAATTTGGTGGACTCGCCGTTGGCTGGGTTGGTTTCGGCCTCTGCTCGGCGGTTCTCCAGCTCCGTGTCTTTTCCTCCAGAATGAGCTGCGTCGTGAAGCCACCTGGGTCTCAGTTAATTTTTGAATATTTGTTAGCACTCTGCTGACTCCAGATGGGAATGAGCAGCGCCTGAATACGTGGGAATTGCTCCTGCTCTCCTTGGGCCGGCACATGTGGGCACGACCAGGGCTCAGCTCCGTGCTGGCTGAGCCCCTTCCGGACATCAGGGACAGCCCCTCAAGTCTCTCTGTCCTCCCAGGCCTCTCTCTGTGTCTCGCAGAGCCTTCTCCAGTGTGCCCGGCTCTCTCCCTCTCATGGTTCATGTTTGTTTGAGGTTTTCCTGAAGGTGACCTGCCCCCTGGAGCCTGCCGCCCTCACTGTCGGCAGCTTGCTTACTGGGCCAGGTCCCTCACTGTGTGAGCGTGTCCCCACCCGCCCCTGCATTCGCCTTCAGACGTGGAAACACTCTCCCTCTGCCCCCTTCTTCATTCTCTCCTTCCCTGGAGCCCAGGGGGCATCGAAACTCTGAACACGTTTGTCATCTGCACAGCCAGCCCAGGCTCAGGCCTTCTGGGGTGGGTGATGGCCCGCTTTCTGTCCTCGTGTCTTATGAAGATGTGTCCCCTGGTTGCTGGCCATGGCGCCGTGCCCTTGAAGACGTGAGTGGACTGAGGGGGCAGAGGCTCCTCTAGGCTGCGGGGTATCAGCAGCCGTGACCCCATCCTTCTGCACCTGCAGGTCCCCCTGCAGCCCAGGGCTTTGCAGAAGCCCCGAGATCCGCCGTGTCAGATACTGCTCGGGCAGACTTTGGCTCAGCGCTTTTCACAATGAAAGAGCATCTCAGTCTGCTGTCGGAAGATGCTCCGTCTTTCAGGTTAACGTGGTTTTCTCTTCTTCTTGAGTGTTGATGACAGGAAATCATTTCTAGGATTTAGTTCACTCAAGGAAAGGAGAGGGAAGAGGCTGGCATTAGGGAGCTCCCTGTGGGTGGCAGGTCTGTTGCCTGTGTCAGCCAAGTGGCTCTAGGTGTTTAGAGCCACGGGGACCAAGACGTGGAGGGGCTGCGGATTTTCGTCAGTGATCTGAGATCCAGCTTGGAGCGGTGTGGTCCCACGTTCCAAGTCGGTGTGATCCTCACACGTACCCACGCCCCACGAGGCTGTCTCCTGCCATCGGTGTTAGTGTCCCCCAGGTGCAGTCGTCCCCTGAGAAGTGAGGAGCCACTGTTGACTTGTCCTCTTAAGCATGATGAGGCCAAGGCCACTGGGAGTTTTCCCCTGGTTCTGTGCCTCCCCAAGCCATGCCTTCTGTTCGGTTCCCAGGTGTGTGCTGAGAGCCGGCTGTGTGCACGCTGTCTTGTTGGTGGCTGGCGTCTGTGCCTTCCTAGCAAACGTCCGGATTATTCAAACAATTCTTGTCCTTAAGACTTTGCCCCCAACTTCTTATTATGAAACGTTTCAAAGCATGCATAGAGGGCAAGAGAGTCGGTACTGAATCTCCGTGTTTCTGTCATCAGTTTTAGTGACCGTCAGCACCGCTCTCAGCCGTGCACGTCGTTCATTTGTAGGTATTTCAGTATCACTTCTCAAAGGGAAGGACTCGTTAAGCACACAACACGCATTAACAAGTTAGCAGTTCCTAATAATAAGCAGCCGGATGCTCAGATGCCCGCCATTTCTCCACATCTCTGGGCGGGTGTTTCCACGTGGCGTTTGGATGTGGTGGCTCTTCAGCCTCTTACTTTACAAGCCCCCCAAACCCTCGTTTTCCTTGCTGTGTTTTGTTGAGGAAGCTGTAGAATTTCCCACATTTGCGTTTGGCGGTCATTCCTGTGGTGCCGTGTGACGTGTGCTCTCGCCCCATACTTCTCCAGACACCGGAAGACACAGTGGTGTGACCAGATTTGGCCACGATTTGCCAGAACTTTCTATCATGTCACATCTGAGGCCCAGAAGATGGCTGTCTCCACTTTCTGTGATGTTGAGGTTGATGCCTGAGCTGCGTTTGGGCAGCGGTGTGGTGTCTGCAGCCTCGCTCTGCCCCCTCCTTCCCTGGAGTTCTGAGGAGTGTGCCTGTCCTTTCCGGGATCCGGCTCCACGCCTCCCCCCCTCAGCCTCGCTTCCTCAGGGACCAGTGGCCCGCCAGGATGCACAGCTTCCGTTTCTCCCCTCCTGCGGGGACCGCCCAGCTTCCTTCCTGCCACCAGTGACCTCCACCTTCCAGGGTGCCCCCTTCTCTGCCCCCCTCTCCCCGGACAGTGGTGGGAGTGGAAGGAACAGCCTGGCACACCTCTGTCCCCAGCAGGAGCGGCCCCACGTTGCCCTGGTCCTCGAAGCCTGGGCCGCGTGTCCCTCCTCTCTCTCCTGCCGCTGTCTCTATTTTGACCTCTCGAGCGTCCACGTGTTCCAGGGGGACCTTACTGGGGCAGCAGCTCTCTCCTAGGTCTGTCCAGGCCAGTGCTTTCAGGGGCAGCTTCATCCCCCGTGTCTCCCCAGTAGAGGGAAGCTCCCGGTTTGTGCCTTGACTCCATGCTGACCTTGCTCGGCGTGCTCGGAGTCTGTTGAGGTGATGACTCGAGGCCTCACACCTCCATCTGTTAGAAACAGCTTTGTTGAGATGTCACTCACATATCCTACAATCCACCCATTTAAAGTGTGCAATTCAGTGGCTTTTAGTGTGTTCAGAGTGGTGCACCCGTCACCACAGTCAACTTTAAAACATCTTCATCACCCCTCAGTGGTCACCCCCCAAGACACTCGTCTCCCCCCCGAGCCCCTGGCCACCCCTAACCTGCTTCTGTCTCTGCATTTGCTTCCTCTCAATATTCCATGTAAGTGGAATCCGGCCATATGTGTCCCTTTGTGTTGGCTTCTCTCACTGAGCATGATGTTTTCAAGGTCCGTCCACGTTGTAGGGTGTGCCAGCACTTTGTGCCTCTTTATGGCTGTGTAATATTCCAGTGTGTGGATGGACCACATCTCCTTTATCATTCATTGATAGATGGCCCTGTTGGTCGCTGCCCTTTGTGGCTGTTGTGAGTGATGTTGCTGCGAGCACGCAGGTACCGCAGGTGCAGGTTCCCGCGGGCACAGTGTCCACTCCTCTTGGGCGTACTCCTGCAGGCAGAAGTATTGGGCCGTACGGTAAGTCTGTACTTCACCTTTGAGGAGCTGCTAGACTCTTCCACAGTGGCTGCACTATTTTGCATTCTTACCAGCAGTATGCAAGCGTTCCAATTTCTTCACACCCTTATCAGTGCTTGTTTTTATGTGACTTTTCGCTTCCAGCCATCTCAGTGGGTGTAAGAAGGGGTCATTGTGCTCTTGAGTGGCATTTTCCTGATGACGAATGGCGTCGAGTGTTGCTGGTGGCCGTTTGTATATCTTGTAAGTTCTGGATGGGATCTTGAGTCAGATAGATGATTTGCAAATATTTTCTTCCATTCTGTGGGTTTTCTTCTCACTTTCTCCGTAGTGTGCTTTGAGGCATCGAAGTTTTTAATTTTGATGAAGTCCAGTTTATCTGTTTTGTAGCTGTGTGTTCGGTGTCCTGTCTGAGAACCCATTGCCAAGTCTGAGATCATGGAGATTTTCCACGAGTTTTGTAGTTTTAGCTTATCAATCCATTTTGAGTGTCGCCTCTTCTTTGAGAGATGAAAATGCTGCAGATACGCAGCAGCCTCTGACCCTCAGCCCAGAACTGAGCCTGGAGCGAGTCTTTGGCCCCTTGTCCTGGGGGGTGGCCCCCATTGTTCTGAGTTGAGCCCCCAACCCAAGGCCTTGGCTGTGACTTCGATGCTGTCCTGGGGCATGTTGGGGACCTTGGCTGGCAGGACATCCTGGACATGGCGGTCAGGAAGCTCATCGCCCTGGCCTCTCCTGGATTTGCCTTTTCCTGCCTGGAGAGTCTTCAAATGACCTGCGTGTTCTCTGTGTTTCCTCCCCCAGGCGCGGACTTGACTGTCACCGAAGCCAGCAGCTCTGACAGCCGAGGGGACAGGGCTGAGCTCTATGCCCACGTGGACGAGGGTCTCCTGGGAGGAGAAGCCAGCTACCTGGGCCCACCCCTCACCCCCGAGAAGGACGACGCGCTGCACCAGGCCACCGCGGTGGCCAACCTGCGGGCAGCGCTCATGAGTAAGAACAGCCTGCTGTCTCTCAAGGCCGACGTGCTCGGGGACGACAGCTCACTGCTGTTGGAGTACCTGCCCAAAGGCGCTCACTCCCTGTCCCGTAAGTGCAGGCCCTGCTCGCCGTGTGGTTTGCTTTGTGATGGTTGAGCGTAGCCTCAGGGTCAGACCCGGTGAGCAGCGGGTGAGGGTGTAGTGCGTCTGTTCTGAGGATCGCTTTGGTCAGGCTGCCTCCCGACCTCCCCTAGGGTCCGTCTGGGAGCTCACACAGGAGCCTCGTGAGCTGCGCGGAGGAGAGGGCAGTTGTCAGGGGAACGGGAAGGGAGCTGCCAGCACGTGTTCCACCCTTTCGTGCTTGAAATGGAGGCGTCCAGACCTCAGACCTGAGCCCGCTTAGACGTGCATGTGGGAGCACGCGGGAGCTGGCGGCCTGAGTCAGGACCAGGGCCCGTGCAGCAGGCCGGGCGCGGGCTCCCTGTGCTGGGCGGCCTTCCCGCCGTGCTACGTTCGTGTGGGGACGGGCAGGGCGTGTATCCTCGCTTTGTGTCCTCCAGCTAATGCTGGTTACATGTGAATTCTTTAGAAGGAATTATCACTTAAATGTCTCCAGCTGAGTTCTGGTTGCCCGGAAGCAAATGGCAGACTAACCGCGAAGCAGCTAAGGTCCGGCTGAGCTGTTGAGCAGCGGGCTCACCGAGACCTCCTTCTGCTGACCAGACACGAGGGCCTTAGCTTTTACCTTGACCTGCCGGGTGCCTGCCTGGGAGCGAGCCGCTCTCCTCGTCACGGGTGCTGGAAGATCCCTTCTGGGGACACGTGTGGGGGTGACAGCTGTCTGGGGGCTGCTGGACGGGGCCCTGACCCGCCATCCTGCGGAAACTGAGTTTGGTGGGTGCTTGTTGTGGGTGTGAGAGAACAGTTGTGGCCCCGTTTCTCTCCATGGGGAGGGGTGAGGCACCCTATCCCAGGTGGCCCTCGGGGTGCGAGCGTGTGTGGACGGAGGGGTCTGAGTGACGACGGTGTAGCTGTGGTGGTATCCTGAGCGCCACCGAAGGAAGTACAGGAAAACTGCCAGTGTCTTTGATGTTGGGGATTTCGGAAGTGTTTCTTTGTTTTAATTTTTCTCCAATTTAAAAAACAATATTTTTACAACTTTGTTTTCAATAGCACTAAAATATCCTCGGTTTCTGTGTTGGAGTGATGAAAATTACTTACGGCCAATAAAGACTAAAGTGCAAAATGACATATGTTCTCTCTGTGTTCATGAACTTGATGAAGAGCAGCTGCCAGCGTCCGCGGCGGGCTGGGTGCCGAGGTCGGCTGACAGGACTTGGCTGTGAAGTCAGAGTGGGCTGAATATCTCACAGGCATTGGCTGGCTTCTTGGCATTGGGCGTGCTTTTTAAAACATGTTTAGGCTTCATTTTCTGCATCTGAAAAATGGGGATAGCGTCACTTACACAGTTGTGAATTTAAAACAAAATGGCGTTTGTAAAAATGTCACACAGGTCAGCAAAGCGCGAGTGACAAATGCTCCAGGAGGTCAGTCCCTTCCGCCGCCAAACCCGAGGTCGTACTCGTTGGCAGAAACTGTTGGATTTGCGGTGATACTGGGACAGTTACAGGGGGTGGTGCCACGGCGTCTGGGGAGTTTGCGGCAGGCAGGTCCAGCAGCTGGGCCTCCAGCTGAGGGGACAGCTGAACAGGTTTGGTGGCGTCGTGGAGGTTCGATTGGGATGCGACTGGAAACCTGCAGCTGTGCGGAGAGTTTGGGAGCGAGCCTCCAGCGCCCGCCCCATCGCCCTTTCTCCTCCTCTGCGGGGTCTGGACACTTGTTCTGTCTCTTTCTGGGTGCTCCTAATTCAGGTGTGGACGCTATGTGTTATAAACTCCAGGGGGGCGGGCCCAGTTCCTCTGTGCGCCCCCAGATGTGGCTGGTCTGTCCCCGTCGTCAGGAATGAGAGAGGAATGAGAGGGCTGCTTTGTGGGTGCTTTTCCTACTATCTCCGTGTCTGGCAGCCTTTCCTCCCAGCGTGGGCGTGTCCAGTAGGCCTTTGGTGCCTCTGTGCTGGGAACCACGCCACGGATGGGGTCAGGGGGTCTGGGTAACCCCCAAACACTGATTTCACCCACATTCGGTCAAGCAGTGGGACCCGTGGGCTTTGGGTCTGGCTGTTGGGCCTCTGGGACGAGCACCACGTGGCACAAGGAGAGATGGACTCCACTCTTGTTGCCGCTGCCCTGGGTGGTTTCTCCCCCTCCAGCCTCAGCTCCTCTGTCTCGGTCCCACCCCAGCAGAGGCCCAGACCCTCCTGCAGCCAGTCCCACACCTGAGTGAAGTCACAGGTGGGGAAGACCCTGTAGGCTGGGGTATTGGGCTTTTCTCTTCAGATCGTCCTCTTCCCGTGTGGGTGACTGTCCACTGTGTGTTGAATGACTCTGGACGTTGCAGTTGGGCAGCCACACCTGCTCCTGCATTGTAACTGCCACCACACAACTCCCTTCACACTCCGGAGTTGAGAGCTGGGCGGGAGCCCCATCTGGCCTGATTCCGGTGCGTGTGCCAAATTCCAGCTTAGGTCAGCTCGTGGGTTTTGGTGTCCTTTATTTCTGTTATGCTTTAACCTCCTTGCTTTTAATATTTTAAATTTCCCACTTTTTTCTTGTAAGAATCTGCCCTTTCGTTTTCCATAAATCAGGGTGAGAAGTTGGCAGAATCCTTACCGGTTGGGCTGTGAGCTGGATCGAGACATCGTGTGGGCTCATGGCATTCAGCCTCCAGAGGCCGGAGACCTGGGCGGGGGAAGGGGTTATTTTAAAATACTGTTTTCTGACATCCTAAGTAAAATCTGCCTGTTTCTGGGCATACGCTGAAATGAGGAATGGAAATATCCAGAAAAAAACTTTATTGTCCAAAATTTTGTGCCAGGCCTCATTGTAGCCAGCGTTCCGTCCCTGGCGGGTGGTGGGGAGTCCAGGCAGCCGGAGGCCGTGAGCTGCTGTCCTGTGGTGGACACAGGATTGTGGCAACTTCTCCAGGTGCCTGGAGAACAGGAGGAGCGGCTGAGCGACTTTCACACGTTTCCACGCCAGATCTGGAGAAGGAGCTGGAGCTGCTGCGCCTGACGGTGTCCGTCCCTCTGCTCTGCCGTGTGGAGTTCACAGACTGTTTCTCTAAACACATGTGAAGAGACATCAGGCCCACAGAGCTCTGCCTCGCTGTCTGTGCGCCATTCCAGACGTGCCGTCGAGGGGGGCGCGGGTTGTCTGCTCAGCTGGGGATGCTGTCACGGGGACTGGCTCTGGCGACACGCTTGCGTTTCATCTCGCTCCCGAGGATGGGGGCCGGGCCGTGATGGGTGAGCCTGGTCTCAGGGTATGCAGGCCTTCCCGTTGCGTCCGGTGGGACCCTCCTCCCCTGTGTCCCACCTCGGGCTCAGTCGAGATGCACCCCCAAGTCCCCAGGCACTCCAGTGGTGGTTGTCGTCTATTCCTCTGGACCGCCAGCCTGGTGAGCGCAGGCATGGCCTGTGCTAAGGAGCCTAAGGAGCCTAAATATGTGTTCGAAGAGAGAAAAAACGCGTCAAACCAGATGCCACTGACAGCGAAGCAGAGGCGGCGTTGCCTTGCTTCTCGCTTCGGGAGGAGCACCCCAGGCTCCGAGAGAAGGAGACCCCTCGGCTCAGCTGGGCACGGGGCGCCACACTGCCTCTGAGAGGGGCCCCGGGGAGGAGACGGCCCCCAGGCTGTGGTGGAGGGTGTCCCTCATTCCTGGTCGGTGTGAGGGGCCACGGAGGCCAGGGCTGCCGTGCGGGGGCTTTGCTTTGTTTCTGGCTCCAACCTCCAGGCTCCTTGAGCTGGTTGTTAATGACGAGCTTTCTCCATGGCCAGGCCTTGTGTTACTGCGATTTTGGGGTACACATTGGGCTCACATCCCAGCAGACATGGCTCGTGGCTGCAGAATCGAGGAGAATATGACACTTTCCCTATGCGATGTTTGACGGTGGCAGCTCCGAGGTGCGGGGAGCGCTGTGGGAGTTCCCGAGCCATCCTGACTGCTTCGTCTTACCAAGGTGGGGAGCAAAGGGTGCATCCGTGTTGGCTGGTACAGCTAGTCTACAAAGGAAAGGGGTGGTAGTTGCAGATGTCTAAATTAAGATAACCATCAAATAGGCAGGCAGTGCGCACGCAGTAACAAACAGCCGATATGCACAAGTCCTTTCTGGATGGCTCTGGAACCTTCTAGAAAAACCAAGAGTCATTATTTCATGGGTCTAATAACATTGACTTGGCTACTAAATCAACAGGTGGTTTTATTACTAGATCATCGCTCTTTGACTGCTTTCTCCATTAGAGGACTTTTGTCCTTTTTATTTTGATTCTATTCAACTAGATTCTTTTACTCTCCTCGCTTTTTCCACAGTGGGCCAGCACCCTACCTGTTAATAGTCATTGTTCACTGAATAGAAATCATGAAAAGTATCATCTGTGCCTCAAAACATGGCCCTGTTTTACCAGTGGTGTTTGTGGGTGTGCGTTGATCTGGGTGGGCCCTTGAAAAACGGCCTGAGAACACGGGGCTGGTGGGTTTCATGGGAACAAACGAGGATAAAGCGGCCCTGTGGGTGCGGGAGGATGAGTGCCATGTAGGTGTCATTCCAGCCTCCGAGACAGCTCGGGCGTCAAGAGCGTCGTCCTGACCGTCCGCTGTTGGCCCTCGACACGGTTCTTGCTGCACTGGAGGGTCCCGCCCACAGTCTTGGCAGTGCTGTCCTGCCTGATGGGAGGGGCATGTGACACTCCCTCCAGCTCTCCAGGGAGGGAAGACTTGAGAGGGCCCGGGGTGGGCGGACAGGAGCTCTGCTCTCCACACTGGACCCTCCTGACCTGCTGGTCGCAGGCTGCCAGCCGTCCAGGGCACGTGTGGAGACAGCGAGGCTGGTTTTCTTTTGATTGTGCTTTAAAGAATATTTCCTTACGGTGTTTAAAAGATGAACTGAGGACCTTCGCCTGATTTTGGAGTGACACTGGAGCGTAAGCAATTCCTGTGAAGGGGCATTAGGTGGAGATATTACTGCACTTTTAGGTAAACAGCCGGGTTCACACACTTGGAAGTGCTTTCTGGAATCATTTCTCCCATCCGAGTCCCGACCAGGCCCAACCCTGCTCAGCTTCTGAGATGAGCCAAGGTCAGGCGCATTCAGGGTGGTGTGGCCGTCGACCAGAGGATCCGCTTCTCAAGGCCACGGGGGCTCCACGTTCGTGCAACGTGTCCGACTTTCTGTGCAGAGCCCTCTGTGGTATCGTGGTGCTTCTGGGAGAGACCCCACACAGGACACGTCTTGTGCAGAGACCCCCGGCATTTGGGGTTGCCAGGCTGATGAAAGTACGAAACCTCCAGCAGCCCAGTACCCAACCCTCCGGGGTCCACCGCCAGCAGGACCCCAGCCTCGTCGCTTGGCAGCGCTCTGCTCACCGCAGAAGATCCAGGACGACCCTTCTGAACCCTCTAGAAGCCACCAGCTGGGGTCTGTTCCCGTGGGTGAGACTCGTTTCCTGTGTTCCCAGGGCCTGGCTCCAGCCCGAGTCACTCACGGGGGGACGCCGATAGCAGAGGGCAAGCGGCTCCCTCCGGCGCCTCCACCCTCCTCTGCTAGAGCCCAAGACCCCGCTCTGGCGACTGGCCAGACCAAGCCCAGGGAGATGTCCCGACCCCCGGCCCAGGTAAGATGTGAGAGCGGCTGGCACACTCGGGCAGCCCGGACCAATGGCCTGTCCAGTGTGCTAGGCCCCATTGGGCTCAGTGCCCCAAACCCCATGCTCGTGTGCGTCCCCAGGTGTCCCCAGGTGTGCTGAGGGCGGGAAGGAGCTGCTCTGCGTACCCCGCTTCTCAGCCAGGAAACAAAAAACCAACATTAGGTTGAGGAAGTCATTAGCTTTTGCAGTAATAATTGCTTCTCTCCCACAGCAACATGTTAATATGAGATTAAATTGGTTTTTATATTTAAATTAAAATATTTTTCTGAGGAATTGTTTTCCCTAATGTAGAGACATTTGATTCATATAGCAGTAGGTTGAAGACGCCGATTCCTCAAACTGAGCGGGGCCGACTGGTCTTGAGTGGGTTTTGCAGGCAGTGGTTCTGACTGTCGCCGACTCAGGGGCCCAGAGAGGTGACGATAAAGGGCTCTCCTTCCTGCTCCTGGAGCCGCAGGGGTGTTTGTGTAAAGACAGGTCTGTTAGGTTCGTTTGTCTCCCGCAAGAAAAATAAATCTTCAAGAGCTTAACCCACATATTTTGGATTTTGACATAAATGCTGTTCCTATGTGGTCCTTCCTAACAGGATGGTTTTAGGGGATGTTGGTATTCTGTTCATGTGGGTTTTTCTTTTGTAATTTTATTTATTTATTTTTTTTCCCCCAAAGCCCCGGTAGATAGTTGTATGTCACAGCTGCAAGGGTTTTTCTTTTGAATGTCCAATCACTGAGAATTAATTGTAGCCTTCCTTTCCAGACTCGAGACAGGTCATCCTTGTGGGGACTGGACGGGGACCCGGTGAGTAAGGGGTGACGAAACGTTTCTGCTCTGTCTTCTCAGTTTCCTCACATCCTGATGGCCTGTAACTTGTCTGTCTCTCATTCTAGATGGACGCCTCTCGAGACTGGGAGACCTGGGCTCAGCAGTGAGGCCTCTTCTGGAGTTGGCCCCAGCCGGCGCCTGGGTGGGTTTCTGTGGGGGCTGCCAGCCTGTCCAGGATGCCTGGTCTTTCTTCTGGCACACTGTGCGGCCAGCGCTCCTCCCAGAGGCCTGGATGGACTTGCCCAGGCTCCTTGGGTGCCCACAGCTTTGCCCTGAAGTCAGCTAAGGAGCCACGAGGAAAATGTCCCCGTGGACACAGACACCTCCCTGCATATGATGGCTTCGAGGCCAGACAGGCTGGAACAGGCGCCTCTGTCTGCTCTGGAGCCGACGCTCATGTGTGCCTCTCTGCTGTGGCCAGGCCTGGCATTCAGGTCCAGGTGGCCCCTGGGGGATGGCAAAGCCACGTCGGGCAGGGGCAGCCTGTGGGGAGCGGGGACCAGGCGTTGGTGTGTGCCTTTAAAGCGGTCACTTCTTGGATCCTCTGCCAGCAGCCAGGTGAAGGACCCTCAGTGCCCAGCCTTTGGGCAGATGCACCTGGGTTTGGGCTCACCCGGCTCTTGTAGGATTGCCGACTTAACGGGGGCAGAGCAGGAGTGCAGGGGCAGAGAAGCGAGCACATCCATGGGGGGAGGAACCAAACAGCTCTGACCCCAGTACTTTCTAGAAAGACCCTAGGACGAAGCCCAGCCCCC